CGATGGCTTCGATAAATTCACCATGATTGTTTCTAGTCTTCCGTCGCTACATAGTTTCAGCCGTGTGTCGGTGTTTTTCTGCATACATGCCACAGCCGATTGGCCTCACAGTCAGAGACATTCCGCTTTACTCTTGGGCTTAAATAGACGCTTGTTGTCATAGTAATGCTAATAATCGTAGACATGGGTCGGACGGTCGTAAGGAGACTGTCATATTTTTGGACATAACTTTGGATTCGTTTAGCGAAGTGATTTGTCCTCAGTCTGCTGTTACTATTTCTCATGGCGTTAATGCAAGACTGACGGCTACCGTTTCAATAGAATCAGACGTAACGAATTTTATCTCTGAGGATCGGACTCACTTTAGCCCTTCCGTATTTTGTAATTCCAATGTAGCATGAAAATATATTTACCTAGAGATAGGACATTGTGTCGGAACCCCGCTAGACTTTCAGCTTGAAGGATCGGCGCCTGCCGTTTGGTTTGTCGCTTGACCGCAGTAGAGGCCGGTCAACATATACGTAGATGGCCTATGTACTGTAGATATATGCGTGTGTGCGCGTGAGAAATATCAAACGCAATTGGAGTCTATTGAAAATTAGGACTATCACGCCTCGACACGTAGCTATATTCATTACGGGCACTTTTACTGCTGTTTGGAGCTGTTCGCTCAATTCGCTACTTCTACCTACATTTGTTTAAGACTAGATTATGTATACGGCAACGTCGACGGCTGTTGTTGCTATTGTGGTCGTCGTGTCGAGCCATTGTATCGATTTTGTTTGTGATCACAGTTGAGGTTACTGTGTAGCTCCTGTGAATAGTATTCAGTCGGCAGCCGAGAACATATAAGGTCGTTTCTTGCCCGCAGCAGAATTGCCCCCGGTCTCTACTGGCGAAAATTCGGGGCGGCGAGCGCCGTTGCCGCAGCAGTAGCAGCAGGAACATGGTCTCCGCCAACGACAAAGTAGTCAGACGTCTGATGAAGATGCGAAAAAATATTTGCGGTACGTTCCCGACCGTTTTCTAACAATCAACCAAAGTGATGATATAACCATAAAGGGTCCTATCTAACTGAAACAGCAACCAAGGTAGGACCGCTGTCTCATTTAGTTGTTGCTATAACAAGTGCTGCTAAGATTCATGTCCGAATGATGGCGGCAGCAGCAACAGACCTTAGCTCAGACGGCCCTTGTCCACCTTTGAGATATCGTATCGACACTGCTAAGCAAATACCAGAGTGGGCACCACTGGGCAGCATTTAGGATGACGTGGTAGCACTAATAAATATCTATGCTATATATAATTTATTGGTTTATTTAGCGATGTCTGTTTTTGAGCGTATAGCAAGAGGGCAAGAAAGTGGCGTGACAAATAATAGCTATTACTATACTAACTAAGGACCGGCCGCTAAACGACCTTGTTTTTTAGCTTTAATCAGGTTTAGTGGCGCGTGTTGATTTTTTTGGCTTAACACCCACATGAATATGAAAAAGTAGCTCACTGACTGATATCATTTTCAATAAATTGCTTAAATCTAGCATCTAGATTTAAGCATCTAGAGGGGCATTTTGTACTAACTACAAGCACTGCCAACTTAACAGATGATATTACAGCGATTCGAAGACTATCCAAGTATAGTTATAGCGGGAAAGCATCTTAACGAGCTCCACTCAGATACATTAGTGCTTCTCTGTACAATATTTGTGACGATATAATTGCTATACAGTGCGTAGTATTTTATGTAATAATCAAAAAGACAAACAAGTAGATAGGTTTCATATTGAAATTTGCCTGTATTGTATTTTAGGGCTACGATATGGTTTAACAACGGAGGTTTCATTATTTTTGACGTCCCGCAATGTTGTTGGTCCCCTCCGGTAAACGAATACGATAAGTTAAGCCTTATCGACCTGTATAGCCATTGGCACTTCGCTTACACAGCTTACTTTGTCACGATTCAGGGTGTCTGCCTTTAACTGGAACCGGATCATAGTTTTACACGCATGTTCCTTTAACAATAATTAAACATTTGTTGCTATTATTATTATTATATCTACGTTGAAACAGCGATAATAGATTTAATGGAAAAATCAATGGTCGGGCCACGTTAGTTTTTGCCCAGACAGTCTCTCTTTCTGCAAAAATCCATCACCTTATTAATTAGCTTGACGGGGAAAGCTTCGTAACAGCTCATCATCAATAGCCTTTCGGAACCCTGTCACTGAAATGAACGACTAGCTTATTTTATTTATTCATTTATTGATTTATTTAATTGCAACATTTTCTTATAATTCAATTCACTGAAAAGTAGCTATACAGTCGCCTAACTTAACTTCAGTGTCATCATATTCGACGACTTATAAATGAATATTGTAAGTAAAAAAGTTTACGAATGTCGATATATTTGACCACTATCGTTTATGAAAAGACATATCATACACCCTATCGTTCGCAGTATGGTGCGACTATGACGGCCATGTGATTTCCAGATCGCGAACACTTGAATTCGAGTTAGGTTGAACTGCCTAGAATCTACTCAAGTTAATCCTGAACTTAGTTCGACGTTAGCAAAACATTTTCTATTCTAAGCTTTCGCTCTATGCTTCTGTGATACACGTGTACATATGCATATGTGTACCTTTCAGTATAGAACTAACAAAAACAAAACACTTGTATGTACAATTAGATTTATCTTTGCGAAATATCAATCCGTCAGTTCTTACAGGCAAAATTCTGTTGAGATCTAGAGGCTTTTACACCTACGTAAAGCAATACTAGTTGTTGCTTTCTGTATAACTAAATGGAATGCTTTCTGGCCGAATCCAAAGAACTGGAATGCTTAATAAAAGATCGATGATACACGGATACGAATCGATCCGCCAAAATTAGACGTCATTATCTAGACTTCGTGTTACGTAAGTTACGTCGCTTCACGTGTGACATGTTTCTGAAATCAGAGATACGGTGAGCGATGCAGTTGACCGCAGAGCCTATCTGACCCCTGGTTAGATTATATGATCTGGTAATTTTTTCCAATCACGAAGCGCTTTAGCTATATAATTTTCCAAATTTAATGGCTTAAAAATCGAGATATTCATTTTTTGAATAGCGGTGCCAGCCAGCGTCAGGGGTTTCTCTCAGAGACACACACAAACAAACATTCAGTGTCGATCAATGTTCGCGGACGTTATTGTAGAGTCGTGCGGTCGGGAAGGCTGGGGCGCGGAACTGAAGTAGTAAACTGTGGCAACGTAACGAATACATTATTTCAATGTGAGACATTGTTAAAAGGTCCCTTGGCAGGTTTTTTTTCAATGCCATTGATAGCAGTTTACGGTATCTGGCATCATCGCGCTTTAATAGGTTTGTCTGCACCTGACGTGACAATATCTCAGCCATCGTAGACCACACAAGTCCAAAAAAGAGCTTCAATACGATTTATTTAACTTAAACGTTGTGGCCAATGATGTTTTGTTTGTCTCAATGACAACTTCTCAAACGATTCATCATCGAGATGCCTAAAACCGATTTTCTATGAAGCAGTTTTAGATGATATGTGATAACGATGGATTACGGCAAGATCGCAATACCGTTGCGGCTGATCATAAAGACCATACTAAGGTTTTACTAGCACATCATAGTTAGTGAAGGATGTTACAGATGTGCGTGTCAACTCTGACCAAGTAAACGCTTAAGCAGAATTTTGGACTTCGCACTGATATTGCGCTCAGTTAATGCTAATAATGTCTTGATAAAATTAATTCATCATGTTCAATTCATGAAATCATTCCAGAACCTGATCGTCGGATCAATTCTACCGATTCAGGATAGATGTTCCACCTCATCTTTCAAACCACTACCTTGGAAGTCTACTCAAACTTTTTTTGCTTGAATTCAAACAAATAACTCATACATGCTTGTGGCGCATTTTTTCAAAACTTTGCCTACAAGAGTTTCGAGTAGTCACTTTTTACCAAAATGCTTACAAAATGATCAGACAGACCAACCGGCGTCGTATTTAGTGGAAGCATGTTTGGTAATTCGTAGCCTCACACGTGATTTGCGCAAATTCAAGCGGGGGTAGCCTTATCTAGAAAGACAGGGAGCTAGCAAGAAGAAAAAAAAAAGACATTTATATGATTCTGTATTCTAAATAAATAAGCCGCAAATATCGAAAGTAGAAACGCTTTTCCAGTTCACTAACCTCCTCAGACGCAAAAGCCACTAAGTCTCACATATCCACGCACACCCTCCTTAGGGGGCGGGGGAAGACGAGTGACGATAGAAAGCCTCAAGTAACATCGCAGGCTGTTTCATAGATTATAATCAATTGTACAGTTGTCGCTGTTGTTCCAACTAGCGCTGCTGCTGTATCTAGTGATGGTGTTATGATCATTCGAGTTGCCGGCGTCGTTGATCTTCTAGACGATCTAGCAGCTAGGTCGACAACGGCACACTAAATAGACCAAAATATGGGCCACAAAAGGGTCGTTCTGCCAGCTCCCAGACTGCACCAAGGGTCAGGCAGTCCAGCTGCTCACAGGTGCCGGTCGCGGTGACGTACGCCAAAAGCGTTTAGGGGCAATAGCAAACAGCAGCATCAATAGTTGTAACTGCTGCTGTTTCTTTTGCCGCTGTTATTGCCTCCTGCCGCCGCTGCGTCGCAAATACCCCAAAAGTGCCGCTGGGGCTGGGGTAGCCGTCGCCCGGTATAGCGGCGAATCCGTCGTCCATTGGAAGGTTCAAGACAAGCGATAGCTGATGCATAAGGGAGAGGATACTCCGAACGTAACCTTCTCTGCAGCGGCTCTTGCTGCTACTGCTGGTACACTAACGCAAATCACACACGTATATGCGCGTCTGTGCGCAGGTTTGCTTCATATTCTGTGGTCCTGGCAGGAAGAAAAGATGGAAAGGGTTTGTGGGGGCGGTGCATAGATCGACGTGTGGGAACGGGGAAGCATAGCAGTTACATGAATAGTTCAAAAGCAGAACAACCGAAGGAGAAAGCAACAGAAGCGAACGAGCAATCAGTACAACAACATCGTCATGGTACGACAGTGAACTCTACAGGGATAGACTCGAATCTCTTAGAGTGAAAATGCAAGATGATGGAGCATGAAGATCTACCGCGAGAGTAAACTCGTGTGGATTGTTGTCTATGTTGCTCTCTTTTTGTCTTTTATCCATTCGAAAGAATACTAGCTACAAACAAGCCTTCCTACGAAGGCCGGAAAGCGCCGAACAGAAAAGAACGTGTCGCAGTTTCTCTTGGCTTTGGCGCTAGAAATGACAGACGTCGACAACATACGTAGCGCTGCGTCGGTTTGAGAGATGCAGAATGGTCATGTCGTACATTGCATATGTACAGTACAGTAACTTCTGTGAACAATCAGTTGGGGCAGTAACTAGTTGTGACGTACTTGTGATTAATATGTTTCGGTTAAGGCATTACGAGTGATATTATCGCCTCGTAAGATAGACGATGAATAGTGAAATCAGTCTGATTATTACGGCAAACGCACACTTACTTTTAATTCTCCGGCCTTTGTCAGAATTAGCCATCGTTCATAACGTATTTCGTTTATAGTTGTTAAGATTAGGGCTTTTTAACATAAATTAATCCCTTTTGCAGCGTCTATTCGTAGCCGTCGTCTCCTTCCTTTTTCTATCTGAAGGAGCGATAGCGCGCAGTGTGGGTTACAGTGGTGGGCCATCGAGCAGCGGTGGTGAGGATTTTGAAGAGGGAGCCGTTGGACCATCGTACGAAGGTGGGGCAGGCGGTGGCGGCGGCAGCAGAGGCTACAGCCAGCCTGCAGCACCTAGTTATGGAGGTGGATCGCCGTTTTCGTATGGCTCAGGTAAAGGATATAGTGGGGGATCCAGCGTTCCGGCCGCAACGCCTGCCTCCAAGCCCTCCTATTCGCAAGGACACACCAGACCTGGAAGTGGCTATGGTGTAAACTCTCCTTACGGGGGAGCAGGAGCTCCTGGTGCTCATCATGGCGGCTACGCCAGTAGTGGAGGCAGTACTGGCGGGGGCGCGTATCAGGCCCCAGTTTCTGCACCCTCGCCAACTTATGGAGGCGGTAGTGGTTACGGCGAAGGTCATGACGGCAGCGTGAGCCACGGCGGCGGTTATGGAGGAGCCAAAGGGGGTGGCGGCTATGGCGATGACGGTAGTCACGGATGGGAGCCTTACTCGTTCTCGTACAGCGCCGATGACGCAGAGGGTTCACATTCGCATAGCGCACAAGGAGACGCTCAGGGCAGAGTTAGCGGACAGTATACCATTCAACTTGCCGACGGTAGATCGAGAACGGTAAAGTAAGTAGTGTCAAAACACGTCTATTCAAATGTAAATGAAGCAAATGGCATAAACGCAGTATTATTTAAATATTTCAAATGAATGGTAAGAGCAAAACCGTTTTAAGCCATTATATCCTCCCGATTTATCTACCAGGTACACTGCAGACGAGCACGGTTACCGTGCTGACATCGTCACGAACGAGCTCGGTACAGAGTCGAAAAACCCCGCCGATGTCACCATCCAGTCTTCGGCACCAACTGGCGAAGAGGCGGCGCAGCAATATGGCAGCGCAGGAGGAAGTAGCGGCTCGTATGGTGCTGATCATACTGGTTACGGCGGACGGCCAGAGGCTAAACCACAGTCCTTGTCGCATTCAAAGCCATATTCAGATAGTGGCTATGGGCAGCCTGCTCCCGCCGGATATTCTCAAGGACATCATCAACAATCCTCATATCCCACTAATCAGCATCACGCACCGTCACCTTCTTACGACGACGGAGGACATAGTGATTCATCTGCTCACGGCGCTCACTATGGTGCCCCTGGTGAGTCTGGCGCCGAAACCCCACGCCGACGCAACCGACCTTCTTACGGATAAGTTATTCATTTACTTCTGACGCAAAAATGCAACAAAGTACAAAGTATGCCTACTTAGTGAAGCTTATTTTTCCCTCGTCACATGATCGTCAATGTGATGATGGAAACAGCATTTTCTATCATGTACTGGTCAGTACGATTCAAATCGACTTATTTAGGCGAGACCTACGTCCTTCTCATTTGCAGCCCTCATTATTATTAGTACGCATCTATAGCAAATGGTTGACAACGAAAAGCACCGTAGTTCTTCGCGCACTGACGAATTCCAGCTTCGATGTAAAGAAGGAAGTGACCGCTGGTGGTTAAGTGTAAACAGTTTATTAAACGGAACAACATCAAAAGAAAATGACAAACGTGAACATGAAATAATAATAATGTATCTAATCCACGAAGTCATAGACAAACAGCGGTCCGCCACGGTCGAGACACCATTCTCGCACTCATCATCTTAGCGTCTTTTCTGTATATATCCATTCATCCGAAACTCTTTACTTAATCCGGCTATTTATTATAGCAACACATTGTAGCAGCTGCAAGAGATAATAAAAGCAATGACTCTTGTCAGATACATACACACGTAGAAACAAATGACGTCTTTGTTTCATTTTCATCCCTTAGGTCTGCTATTAGAGTTCTAACGTTATGTTCACCATGGTGTTGCTTGCATTGTTGATGTTAGCTTTATGAACGTAAACGGGAGATGACCTTTCCAACCTATACAGCTCTGCTTAACGATTATGGAACAAGATCATAATTGAAAATTGAAAAAACCTTTGAGAGCAATACACAAGTAAGTACAACGGTTTTGTTTCTCAAACGCTTTGGCACGACAAGGACGATACTTAAATAAGGTTGGGGGGTTCGATCCATCGGTCGCAGTGTCTGTTTTTCGGGGGGTAGGGAGAGGGAGAGGGGGAGGGGTGGGGTGGGGGTGGGGGTGGGGGTTCCCCAACAATCCCCGAAGGATTGTTCTAGACTTGACTCGACCACTTGCCATTTTGCGTGCGCTGTAGCACTAAGCAAGATCGATCACTACCTGTATTTAAACTTCGCAAGCTGAATCGTTAGCGATACTTGCGGTACAAAAAAAAGCGCTCCTGTTTTCTGCAGAATTAACATTAAGCTGCCTGTCCTTACTAATAGGTTGTCCCACAACGCTAACTGGATATAGAGCCAAACGCCTATTGTATTTTTGGCGCGCCATTCAGATTTTTACTCAGTCACCGATTCTACCAAAACTCACGTCATAAGGAAACAAATCAAGCGGTTATAGAAAAAACATTCAGTGGCGGCAATGGCACAGTTGCTGACCAGTAATGCATATTGCATAATATGTTAGCGGAAGGACGTTTGTGACCGCTTGAGTAATCGATCATTTAAACGATTTTTCCTTTACTTGTTAGATGAAAGTCAGCACCGCTAAAATAGCTACCTCGCATAAAAGTCCTTATTCAAACAAATACTTGTGAACAAAAACACTCAAAGTGGCCGACGGGTCCGATGACAAGAAATGGAACTGATCAACTAAAACATGTATACTTCAAGAGGATATACAAAAATTTGAACTGAAGATCGCGTGTGTTTTTCGTCTTGTCATTTATCGTATACTAACTGTCGTCACTCCGCCTAGAAATAAGATTGATTAGATATCATATTGGGAATAAGACGGAAAATGAATGATTCGTACGCTTACGCCAATTTTACCTGTCGTGTCGAAAACCACAATTAACTTCCTTTCAGGAGGGTATTAAGTTTTGACGGTATTACCAACTCCAGCATTCGCACTATTAAGTGTAAAGTGTCTATATCATATTGGATCCCTTTATATTATTCGTGCCGTTACATTACTCCCTCCAATTATGCTGTTAACGGGTTAGTACTAGGTCACTTGAATAACGACAACAAGCCCCATACATGTTTGCTGCTTTCTACCTGTATGCTGCTTAAAGAACAGTAGTCCATTTCCAGAAATATGCCGTGTAATGAAAACAGCACGATTTTCATGAGTGGAACAAAATTTATTTATATTTGAGTATTTAGTGCTTCAATATCTACACACTATAACATACATTCTTCTTTTCTTCGCAATTGACGCTCGAAGAAATTCCTTCGTTCACCACTTATGATCTAGGAAGCTGTATTTCGCTAAGCCCGAATTCACAACTGTCAGGTGAGTTGTCCTAATCCTTGTACCATAATCCATAGATATTTTATAGGGGAACGGATTTCCTTTCCTAGATAATAGTTGTCATGGGTCGGATGTAACGCAGCTTAAGTTTTTCCAATACTAGAATAAATCTTGTACTTTTTTAACAATTCTGAGTTTGTTCAAAAAAAAAAAGAGAACTTCATCAGACGAGAAAATACCGGCACCACAGCACAATTGTATTGCTTGTAATTTACTACGCAGAAACAGATATAGTTATCAACTATAATAGATATTTTGAAACAACAGCGATATAGAAGCTAGGATATTAGTCGTTGCAATGCAAGCTCACAGTCGACAACTTGTTTAGCATAACCTTTTGCTACGTTCAGCAGAAGTTCACTTGTTCGGCCAGTTCCGACGAGGTCCTAAATGACAAAAAAAATCTCAGCTCGTTTGTTTTCTGATCGTATTTTGAGATCGTGTCCTCAAACACTTCCTTGTAATCGTATAATAATTGATATACTAAACCCCTGTTAATAATTAAATTTCACTTCTAAACTTTCGCTGCTTGAACAGGTTTTGCTGGTCACGCAAATATTCAGTTTTATGTCTGATTCCTTATAAGACTCTAAACATCTGATAGAAAAAAAAAACACCCAGTTCTAGAATTTCTCAAAACAGTCATATACTCCTGCCTACATTACGCGTCCGTAATATAAACAAGTAGCCCGCACCAGTGCATTTGTTCTACCAGCAAAGTTCTGGCGTAAGAGTACAGATTGCCCTTAGCGCTTAACTCGGATGCATGTACTTACAACAGCGTACGTCTTGCAGATGGCGAACAATTTTTTGCCGCAGGTGGTGAACAGCGGATGCTGAAGATCAACTCCATGCTCCTCTAGAGCAGTAGCTACGGCATCGCGTAGCTTCCTTTTCAACTTCTCATTATCCACCACTTCAGAGCGCGATCTCTTAGCTGGTTGTGACTATTCAGAAACGATATAACATAAAACATAGATAATGCAAATATTTTACTCAAAAAGAGACGTTGTTTACATGATAGCGCAATTATAGTTAACCGTATGTAGCCTTTAATGAGGTCCAAACTCCGTGCTGGCAGCCAGAATTTCTATTTACCTGCAAGGCCTCTTCATGAGATTCTGTTTTAGAGAATGGACGGACCCTGCAGCTCGATGAAGACTGTAGCGAGGTCGTGCCTATATTTTGTAGAGACGACTGCCTTGATGAAGGACCGGCATCACTGTCCATGGTCGAATTAGATACCTCACGAAGAATATCTTTAAATGGATTGCGCCGTAACACTTGAGATGAATTTCTGCAATTTTCAGTTTTGTTCATAACTAGTAAATTGTATTTCTGGCCGATCTAGGATCCTGTTTTACGTCTGGTACTTAAATCGTTAGGCATCGCTTCAGATGGCTGGCTCCTGCCAGCAAGTGTGTCTACGGCCGGAGTTGAACAGTAGATCACCTAATGTATCCTCAGGTTTAGTAAGCAAACGCGCTATCATTGCACTGTCACAGAGACAAATCTAATAAATTCGCACGAACGTCTTACTGACGCCTAATCTACAGCAATCTGAAGTTATGAATACGAGTGGATCGATTCTGATAAACACGTATAGCCGATTGTACTATGTAACGGTTATGTATATGATCCAAACCTAAAAGGACTAGTGATTTGCTTATGTTTCCGGGGGCTCCGTCTTCGAGATTGCGGGCTTGCCTCGAACAGGTTCTTTCGCGGCGAGTGGCGCGATCGATTGGTCCGGCTGAATTGAGAGACTCGCCTACTAACAAGACTGTCACCTGGTTGACTGTCGAGCGATGTTGCCGTAGGCCTCCTTAAGGCCCCTTCCTTCCATCGATGGCAAGCTCTTTCAAAGCGCTCGTCCTCGACACTTCGGTTGTAGCTGTAGGTTAAGGAATAGTTTAGGAAACACGAAAATGCTCATAAAAAAAATGTTCGGCTCTACCGTATAGACGGGATCTCTGCTATACTACTAGAGCAGAAAGACGAAAAATAATATAATTGTATCAAGACTGTGCCATTTGCATACCAGGAAGATGATTTTTTAATACACTTGCTTAGTGTTTTCATTTTTACCCACTAGACATCGTGGCTCGTGTAAGACAGAATATCTGGCCAGGGCATTTGCCTCGCCGAGGACACGTCCAAGGTAGGCTTCATTAGAAGTCCCTTAGACGGGATATTTATAATTACTTCACTCGTCCCCAGTGCGCACCCTGACTGAATATCAAAAAGCGCAGCAATTTCTTTCGCACTCCATGCCACTGCTGTAAACGAGACAAATCAATATGCAGAATATAGAAAACCGTATTGGATAGTTTGTCTAGAGAAATTGCTGTTGCCTTATGGATATATAAACAATCTGCTTCAAGCTGCTTACATCGTCTTTTCAGTGCCGCCTCCGAGATCACCTTTAAAGTTGATTGAAATATATATTTCACTCGTCAAATGAAACAGGGGCAAAAAGAGCCATGAAAAAATCTTAAATTTTAATATAATTGTGGCTCTTAATAGAAATCCCGGTTGATAATAATTTTCTAAATAACAAAGAAAGTGCCGAGGGATAGATCGAAAACAAATGCTCCCGTTTATTATAATACTACCATTTATTGCTGGGAGCTGATTATCCTTATTGTCTTCGACTGGCAGGAGACGCGCACGCATGGGGAAATCAGCTGGGTCAGCCAGATAAGGATCTGCAATTATGTGTAGAGCAATAACAGCAATATATTGATACCCACATCATATCTGTATAGAAACGCATATATATAAAGTTAATTAACAATATATATGAGACGCAGTCTACTTATACTGGCCAGTTGTAATAAATAAATAAGTAAATAATGTAATCGAACCGATCCATTTCTTTCAATGAAAAATCTTGGTGTTTACCGACGTGAGAAATGAGACGTATATGGATATCTTGTACGGATCACCTCTGTGAAATTGCCTTTCGTGAAGGCTAAGTATCTTACATATTACGCTCCACTTTTTCTTTCGAAAGGAACATATTCGTGAGCCTTTTAGGGTGAAGTATTCAAGTACTCATCTTCATGCGTTCACTTGCCGTATGTGAATTATAAACGAGCGCTTGCAGGTCAAGGTTCACTTTGACAAGCTGCGGATTGCTTTTTTTTATGATCTTTTATTTACTTACGAAAAACCAAGCGTGGACTTGTACGTGACGAATTTCGAATCGAAGGTGCACAATAAATTAACTTTGCTTGCGGATATCAAGACTCAACTAAACGTACATGGGTCTGTAGCTTGTAGATGGGCTAGGCGTTTACAATCCTCTGCGTTGGAAAGCAATGGTCCGAGAATAGGTAAATCCAGTGCGCCTGGCAGCGTCACGTTCTGGAACGGCCGGAAATAGGAGACGAAATCCATATTGACCTCGCTGACTAGTGGATAGACCGTTCCGCTAGCTGCGAATTCAATAAAAAAAAAACATTACAGGTACTTACAGAACAGTGCTTATATACAGGACGCAAAATCATGCAGGTACTCACTGGTGAGGAGGAAATGCATTGCTACAGTTGGCTCCGGTCGTTCAGGATTCACCGGAGGCTCGAGTTGTCGACGTCGAACAGCCTGACGCCAATTGCGAGTTGTTAACGCAGACTCAAGAAGAGGAGTATTCTCCGTCCAGCCGTTAAATCTGATCAAAAGGCCGTCCTAATAATGCAAGTGGATTAATGACAACCCAAGTGAAGAATAAACGCCCGAATTAATCTTTCATAGTGGCTAGACAAGCTACATTTGACGAACCGAGTTGCTGTCGAAGTAAGTACGTCTTGATAAAACTCTATGAACAGTTAAAACAAGATAACACGTCTAACTTTTCCGGCGTTTATGTAACCGCTGTTTTAATTACCGCTCATTCTAGGCCTGTTGTGTAAACCAAGTAACTATACGTTGGGGTTACTAAGCACAAAAACTACGTACATTCGATCCCAGACCACGTCGATTCAGAAATTCGGTGTCTGAGACATACATACTAAGACCGGCGCAGAACAGTGTCAACGGTACTGATTGCAATTGGATCTGGCTGACTACCTCACAGCTAGGTGACCACCGAACGCCAGATGGGCAGTCATCCTTTGAACAAACAACAAAAAAGAACGGACATTTGCTGTGCCGTTAATATGCATCATAGCAATTCGCTAACCGTTGTATCAACTCTACCTGCGTAGCATCATAAAAAGAAGTACATCGTAACCATGGAATACACCATCTGCATATATTCGGCTATCACAAGCGAATCCGGTGGACTTTAAAATTGAATAACTTTTGAACTAATTGGACTCAAGTTATTATTTTCTAATACATGTTAGTGATACTCAAACACTCTGGAACCCTCTGGACGCCCATACACCTACTAGGTTTCCAAGTTCTCTATCTATGGCTTCTCGAAGTGAATCGATAATGGGGTACGCTTGTCTTCCAGTTGTCCTTTTTCAGGGCATAGAGAACATCGTAATCACACGCACCTAGATCACAAGAATAAGCCAAAGTTGGATCCAATTAAAAAAGTAATTGTCATCAAGGAGCCAAACTCGTAATTGCCCTGACAAAGGCTGCATTAATTGTTTCATTTTTGGCCGGTAGTATATAGTGACGAATTCGTTTTATGTCTGCTACGAGCGGTATCATCACCTTACGTCCGAACCGGCTCGACGGCGCCACCGAATTCGATTTCTTTCCAAGATGACATTATTTTCTTGCTCGATCTCTTTCCGGCTGGCAGTAAAGATTGAGCCATGCCTCGTCTATGACGATGATATGTTCTAGGCGGGTTTTTGTTGACTTAAGTTCCGTAAATTGCACGTGGAACACACGGGTTTCCAACTAGCCTGGGTCAATTTACGGAAAATAAATTTTTTACTCAGCTTCCGCATTCATCGCGTTTAAATTATAATTCTGTAACATGTTACATGTGAAATGCCAGTTTTAGCTGATAGTGGCGTTAGACTCCAAGCTAAGCTTTCCTGAAAAGCCTCCTCGAGTGCGGCAATGCGTTCTTGTCGTTTGGGTTTCAACACATGGTCGCTTCCTCCCTCATTTTTAATACTCCAAGCTCCGTTTTTGAAACGTGCACGCCATACACAAACTATGCCTTTGCTTAAAGCTTTTTTGTCAAATGTCCTAATCAAACAAATTTACGCTGTGGTTTATTTGAAATAAAAAACACTGAGCGTTAATTTTTGAGGCTGAAAGATGTCTATATTTCAAAACTGATTTCTTCCGGAGTACATCCAGTCGGTTTCCAGCACAAATTTCTAAATAACTGGAACATTTACCAGCCAGACTTCGTCCGTTAGGGGTGCGTAGTTCAAAAGCTATTTAACTTCAAAGATGGCCGAATTCGCTTGCCTAATACATCTGCCACCTCATGTTAGAACCGTGATAGGAAAATGTTTTTTGCCGAGAAAAGACTACTACATACATTTGTTTAGTACAATCTCACTCTAGAACATTATGTCGAACCACATAACAGAGCGTAAGATCTATCCTCACCTCCGACGAGGATTGATTGATTAAATGTTCTGTGCTGACAATGTCTACTGCAATCTGGACGACATAGTTGTCGATATGCGTACTGAGCAGTACTCTGAAAATATATGAGCACCCACGCCAACTCGAATAGAAGTTAATGGTCGAATAGTTTTGCAAACGCTGATTGATAGAACTAAAGACAAAATATTCTCCTTATTGATCTTCCCATGTGATAGTTGGTAGTGAAATCCTACTCTACAAAACATAAGTAGCTTGACGAAGAACGCCTAGTAGACTAGAGATACGAATATACAGTATTTGTAGAAAAGATATTTGTGCCTTAAATGTATTAAATATTTGCTTACTAGGGAACAACATGAAGAAATGTTTAAAATCCAATATATAGTCTATAGACAACGCTAAGGTAATATCCGTCACTTAAAATGTCACTATTAGCGATTAGTCAGTCAAAACATGCAATGTCCTTTGTATAACTTGCTTGACCAATTGGACAGGTATACTTTCTACACTAACACGCACCTGTCAGCAGGATTTACGGGAGCTGCCCCATCGAGGACTTCAAGCCACTCCGCGATGATTGATCGAGCAGATTCGCGTCCCAAAGGGTAGAAAACCGCAGCGTGCCATTCAGCACTTCGAAGAAGACTGCCCGCTAGTTGTTCACAGGCTGTCCTACAATTCAAGAAAAAATACACACATTCAACGTATACCTATTATACCTATATACAAAGAATCACGTTTATGTTTAAGGTGGAGGGTGATCGTTCTTCTAACCTGCTGTTGTCGTTAATAGCATCACACGGCAGGTGCAAAAGACACTCGAACACTTAAATGGCTACTGTCGTTTTCTCATCAACGCAGGTTTGAAAATGTAAGTTTTTAAAAATTTCCTGCCTGACCTAATTACGCTTGAATGAACGATGAAAACGAGGCAAAATTGAATAGTGCTACATCAACAGTCAAATATTTAACTTACGTAAACGGCCACAACGGCACTAGTTGTTCATCCAGGACCACATGAAGTTTGGCAACGTCAGAGTCAGGCAACGAGTCGAGCAGGTGATCCATGATAAGGCTCGTGGCGTCGGAATGCTTTATGTTACGTAGCAAATACCGATAAAAAAAAACCGATTTTCTTATGCCTTAACAATTGAAGGCGACTGAAGGTTTAATGAGTTTCTTCGACAGTTTTGACAACGTCAAACCATAAGGAGCTTGATATCCCCCCCCCTCCCTGTTCTTTCTCTCTCTTTAATGCGGCAAATCACTTTTTTCGAAGTTAATTTAATAGCTTCCTTAGGTTACGCTATTATATATAGCTCTGTTATTGGCAAATAGAGAAAGGCTTTAAATTATCAAGTGAATCTGTCCTTCTTTGGCTTTATCTACCCCGTTGGTATTATTATCGTGTTGCTTTTCATGAGGCCGTTTATTCATAGGCACACGACTTCCGTTTGAGAAAAAAACTAGTGAATTTAATTGTATTTGTATTGAACGAAATTGGTCATATGTTTGTCATCTCGTGCCACCTCAACAAACCATAAACGTAATTATCACCATAACCCAAATGTTACGCAGCTGGGTAAGAACCTGGGGTATATATTTAGCACATGCATTTTTCATTCATTCATTATACGTTCCTTTTTTTTTAAAAAATTAGGCCAGCTTTAATCGGAAGAGGAATGAATGGCAGTAGCCATTGCATAACGATCGATAGCAAAAGGCTTATAGCTATAATCAGCAACTGTATGTTTCGTGTAGTTCCTCGTTGGGCGTAACCATCATTTCTATCTATTCTATATTATAGCTGCTTCGCATGTCTGAGCCTTCATTTTCAATGCATGCAACTGGTAATAATGCCCAAATGCTGTTTTAATCCAATGAGTGCTCTAGCAACGGAACCCAATAGAGTACAGCTCCTAATACGGCCATAGTCAATTCAAATATTATCAAGCCCGGCTTGTCGCACGCATAGTCTTCTCCCAGACATTGTGGTAGCTGTCACCTAATGAAGAACGCATTGAAAAAGACTCTGCATTTTGCGTCGAAGAAAGGCTTCCACTATATATGAAGGCCACGTACATTCCATTTAATCCAATCGTTCTTCATAAACACGTTTGCCTGGTAGCATTCTGTCAATTCGCGAAATGTGTGCGAGATCTTAAATGATCTATTTTTGATGACCCCGTAGAACAGCTAACTTGAAGAGTATAGAGGATTTTACGCCTGTTACCGAACACAGACAATATAGCTCAATGTATAAATCATCAGTATTGTCTGTTACGGACCGGTTACCCAGGCGAATAGTAAAGATAAAAAGATTTTCCGACACCAACTAAAATATGGTCGATAGGAGCCGCTGCTATTGGTCTTGACGTGACCATTCTACAAGGCGCAGAGCACTGTAATAAATAGTCCTGTCGGTGGGGTACGGCTAAACTTTTAGTAGCGAATAGCCAGGGGTCCCTGACTCAAGACTCACCAACAGCACATACTAAACGACAAGTGTGTTTTAATAGAGAATGGGCCAAATAATAATAATGAAGAACCATAGAACTCTATTAACAATGAAATATTACGACTTTTGACATTAAGCATAGAACAAACGGAGATAAGTTCATACGAAATGATTTACCCGTATAAGGATAGAATCGTTAACGTTTTCTGCTAGCGGATGAAGAACATTATAGATTGTTTCAATTGCTGTCTCCATCTTGTCGAAATCGCTGTCGTACCAACATTTCACCTACAAAAAAAAAGAGCATAGTTTAGTCAAATCGAAAGACTGCTTTCAACAGGATTGGGTAGATGTTCAAGTATACAGTCAATATTTCAACATGTATATATTGACAGACTCACCATACTGTGACATGCTTTGACTGGAGCTAGCGTTGCGTGAATCACGGCAATGTGAACGCGTCCCCCACATTGCACAAACTGCCGTAGGTGAGGAGCTCCAGATACGGCTAGGTGTCTAGACAATGAGCAATATTCATGACGAAACTCCTCCAAAAATCTAATTATCGGACTAGGATCGTACGTATCTAGAATACAGACCAAGTAGATACGTTTACTAAAAAGTAACATCGACCAAGTCGTGAGACGCTCCGCGATTAACGTATGTATAATAAATTGGCCTCTTTTTCTATATAACTGTCTCAAGGCTAACCGTTACTCAAGTTAATACCTAAAAGTAGAAAAAAATAAAACCGTAGATTTTATTGTAGCATGATACAACGATCAGATTTATTGATCAAGTTTCTGTTAGGTAATTGCATAATGGCGCTTTGGAAAAAAATCGATTTTTTTTTCTATGGGATTTTTTATGGGATATGTAGTTTTAGCAAAATCAATTGATATTGCACAGTAGCTTCATATTTACATGCGACTAACTAAGATAAGATTAGGGATACCTGGAGAGCAACAGGACCAACAATAGCACAGTTTAATTGCTGTGGGAGTGACTCGCTGGTATAGAATGTACTTGTAGAACGAGAGTACCCTAATCATGGTTAACTGAATAACGCAATTGCCAAAACAATGTAACCGAGTTTCACAAATAAAGTAATAAGAATCGCAACAGACTGACTCGTTACTAACGGGTTATAATGCGACAGACTTGAGTTATAACGCAAAAAGTGTATGAAACAGGCCGGTCGAAGGGCAGTATCGGGAAACCATAGAAAGCTGAAATGAGCCAACAAGAACAATCGCCAAAGGGAACGATGAAAGTTCGAACGAACCCAAGTTCAAAACTCGGCTGCAGGCCCAGAAGGTGGGGACTCGCCTTGCGCTACATTAGAATAGATAACAGAATAATAATAACAATTGGGTAGCTTCCGATTTGTATATTCAGTACAGGCCATGTGCAGACAATATATGAATAAATAATAAGAGACTAGGTGTCTCGGCCCGCAGATTTTATACAGGTTAAGTCTAGCCGTCCCCGTTATAGTTTAGTAACGACATGATGTGGTCTAGGTTTGCAGCCGGACGTAGGCACAGTTTATTTTATGCTAGGAGCCCGCCATCTAATGGAATACCTCGCGGCGATACCAAACGTGAAACTCGCATCATAGGGAGAAGTTAAGGGACGCCGTTCGTTACCACACAGGTCAAGTAACAAGAAACCCTTGATCCTCATTAATAAAAGTAATAGTAAGATCACAAACGATGCCACTACAGGCTTATGAATACAGAGTTTCAACTTCAAACCTATAGCGTCTCCGACACGAACTCGTACTTTCGCTTTTTATATGAATATATCAACTTCTAATTTAAGTTTAATAATTGTCGCAGCAACACAGTAGCGCTAATTGGCTTTAAAATAACATCTCAAGCAACTAACAGGCTCCTGGAGACGAGCCTCAATTGTCCTTCGGTAGCTTTATTTTTATAAAACAGTTCGACAGTGAGCTAAATAATCTAAATAAAAAAGCTAACCAAAATTTTTTTTGACATTTACACCTGTTATGTACTATAAGTCTCATAGGCTATAAGTATCGGTAGTTACCATATTAATATGATTGACTGAATATATCACCTTCAGACCATTTATTATTTCCTCATTCTTCCTATATGACTATAAAAAGTTTTTAAGATCTTTTATAGAAAAAAATCTGCTTGTGTAGATATCCCTGTTTCCAAATGTAACTATCTTCTTCAGGTTCAGCTGTGACTTCGTCTCTGAAAGTCTCTTCATTGGATAATATACCGTGAGAAAGCTTCTGCATTACTGCACTTATTACTCCTTTCAGCTCATGAACGTCGAGCATAGCTTATCTAGTAGTACAAGACCGTTGAAAAGTTTGCGTTCCATTGAACACAAGTTATACACTTCACCTTGAGTTATTGTGAATCTGGAGCCTCTATGTAACAGTATATAATTTCATACGCCGTTATCTACATATCGGTATGTATACTTATTTATCTCTAATTATATTTAATATAACTTGGCTTATTCTTAATTAGATACAGGCTTCAAGACTCCGTGAAGATTCTTGAGCCGAAGTTCCTATATAACCTAGCAACGGTTGGCTGTAGTTTGGTCCAGCTGCACAAAGTATATATTTCAACAAGCTTTGAATGTAATAATACATTTTTTTTCCGCGAATGACGTCCCTACATATTTGCTACGCTGCTTCTAGTAGTCAACTTATCTTTATCCCTTACCTCGTACTATAAATAGGATATAATGCTTCATGTCGACGCCAGTATCACTGGCAAATCGAAGACAAACTTTGAACTTATTTACAAAGCTGTGCAAAGACAAAATCGTGTAACTTCACCAACTTTAGAGTACGTAGATTTGGCATAAACACGAAGCACTATTTTAATTACAATTTTTCAAAATACAACCACTACTAACTGGCTGATACAGTTCATATCAATACATTTCACTCAGCGGATGTCTGTAGATTTTTGGCGCCGGTGCAGTACCGAGCGGGTCAAGCATTCACATGGCCAGTCAGATGTTTTCACGTTCGAATTTTGTTTGGTTCGGGCGGCTTGTCGCTGACGGAAAGGGCTCTCTGTAGCAGACGAGTTCGTCGAAGATCAACTTTTTGAAAAACGTGGTAATTTCAACAAAAATACAAAAGTCTTTGTTCTAGACGGGCGAGAGACATTCGCTGGGTAGACACTTAATCAAGTTCTTGAGCAAGCTCGTATTATGGAACAAAATAAAGTTCATTAGGCTATAAATGCATCAATGTTTAGATATAGTTATTTGACTAATTTGAAATGTCTCCACGAAAATGAGTTTATATAGGTTCGGTAGTAAGAAATAAATAAAGCGGGTACATTCAAAGCAGATGACAGTGTTGCTTAGGAGTATTTATATTATTCCTTTTTTGGAACACAACATATCGTAATTGATACTTAAGTATAGTTGCTATTATTAAGCGTTTACTAGCATTGAAAATATAGATGAAAAACAAAAGTAGTAACTGGGCCATGTTCCGCAAGGTTCAGGGTAGACCGATTAGCAAAAGCAAATGTTACTGACGAATCACGTTTGTAGGCAAAGGGGTGATGAGGACGCCTTAAAAATCCTATGGTACATACTGATCCCTCTAACCAACACGTAATACTAGTTAATGAGAATACAGCGTAATAAGAAGAGCAGAAAAATGGTTTAAATTAAAAAAAGCTTTGCTAATAACATATGCTATATGACTGATTTGATTACTTAAAGGAAAACATAACTGACGCAGTGCGAACGACATTTGTGCTGGTCGTACCTATAAAACCACTTTGATAATAGCTTGAAATAATGATTTTGAAGTCTTTTTTAAATTTGTTTGCAGAGCAATCAAAACAGCACTCCACTGCTCCTTCTTCTCGAGCTAACAATAGCAAATAGCATAACACAACAAAAAAAATCGATCGTTTCTCGTAATAAGTAAAACGAAAAGGCGCCTTGAAACGAGACGCTTCTTAATGATAGGAAAAACATTACTGGGTCATAAATTAGTTCAGCTATTAAAAAATTATCCCAAATCATCTTCGTCAGTATTCTTATTTCAACGCTTTTTGCTATGTTTTCATCCGTGACTTGTCCTTGTTAGACTACTGTGTGTTACACATTTAAAGTTACCTACTAACCGTAAAGGGGCGTCCCGGTTCAAAACTTAGTCAATGCGGTACATAGCTGCGTGTATAAGCTCTTCATATATGTCAACTTACCTATACATGCGAATGGGCTTAATGCGACAGTTTGGATAATGGTGTCCTCATTCTTTATTTTTTCATACGGTGTTAGTTGCTTTATAATAATACATGCACGTTCTACGGGAGACCCATTAGATAATTCGGTCGGGTCTTTCTGAGGTGATCAGGTATGTTTCCTACGTGACGTAGACCGCATCCTGACCACTTCAGTTGCTGAAATCATCTCCTGGAATCTACCCAAAGCTATTCTTTTTTACGAAAATTATCATATATTTCTTGTTGTGAATATTGCGGCTTCCAGGGGTTCTTACGGTTAGTTATACGACGGAACTGTAAGTCGCTTACCATACATTTTTTTGAAAGGAAGAGGTATTTTGTATTTCCTAGAGATTTTTTTGTATTTTGTATTTCCTGTATTTAGAGGGAGAGAGAGAGAGAGAGAGGAGAGGGGAGAAAGTTAATATGAGCTAAAAAAAATGTATTGCATTTGGCCTCCAAATGCATATTAAATGTTAGACTAAAGTACACTATTGACCACAGAAATCCCCATTCAACAAGTTACCGGATCACACGCTTAGTATGTTACATTCAGGGTTACGTGATCAGTACCTTAAGGCAATGCTGCCGATAATTAAATGTTTGACTGACAGCTTTTACGGCACAAAGTTAGTACGTACTAATATGCTAAAGTAAATAAGCATTACTACAAAGCTGTGGCTGTGTTTTCCCGCAAAATGGGCTTATATTACTTTATTTAAAAACATTTACAGCGAGAGACAAATAGAATATTGATATATGTACCTATTTACTGTTTAATAAATGCCGTAAAAATAGGTGTACCAGACGTAAATACATGCTATTTGTTCTACAGAAGGTTGTTGTTTTCGTATCTTATCGCAGCCCTGAAAGACGGTCGATAATGGTCCAGTTGCGATTATCGTTACAAAAGATTTAATTAACTCTGGTGTTTTGCTTTCATAGTAATGCCAGAGCACTAGCGTGTTCAACTATTTAGTTAATCGAAACGTTTCGGAAATACTTTCGCAATAGCTAAACGGTGAAGAGTGTCATATAATGGGTCTGCTATTTCAGGTCTTCATAGGCATTGTCCTTCATGAGCTTCATAAGCTTTTCATCTACGACGTCGGCTTTTTGTCGGCTGCTTGGTACTGCTAAGTTTCGGTAGTACATAATTCAGTATTAAAACGTTTGGCCACACTTTGCTTTTCTTCTGAAGATTGCAAGGTCGTAGGGTTAAAGACTGAAGTTAACTGAAATTAATGACAGCTTTTATGATGGGCTCAAAAAGATCAATAACGAACATTTACAAATAAAGTATTTTAGAACTGTTTTAAAGAAGCAGGCGTAATAGATACCTATTTGTACAGGCACCCTTCGTTAAAATCGGATAAAGAGTCCCGATATAACCTTGTAATATCATATCTGGCATAAGAGTATATCAATAATAGTGTACGTTAGGCACAGTCTTTAAGTTTTCGAGCCGAAATTATACTCCATTCTGGTTTGCGTAGGTCTCATAAAAGCTCCACCTTATCACTATTATGTTGGTTAAGAGGAAATTCTATTGCAGTGCGAACGTTAAGAGGATCTAGTTTGTTAGCATTTCTCTCCAACTGCTCTGTTATTTATATTTTGCCTTTTCTTCCTTGAAATAGAAATTCCCTATTCATTTACTTTTTTTTTTTTGTTTTTTCCAAACTGAACTTTTGACATCAGTATTGCAGATTCTACAATTGTCTACAGTTAGCCGCATTGAGTTTGCACATTGAAGATGCTCGCTGGTGTATTTTTCAATTTATAACAATGAAAGAAACTTATTTTGTCTTACTGAGAAATAATGTTACTTTTTTTTGATTCAAACGTCTGCGCACACGACGAGCTGCGAACGAGATGAATATTAGGGAATATCCAATGGAATGGATTTATGCGAAAAGTGGAAACCTATTTCTAACTTAGTATTTTATAACGATACGCCAGGGTTTTTCTTTTACTAGTCATTGAACCAACCAAGACCAAGGTATGGATGTTGTTGGATACAGCATTCCTTAAATACAAGATCTTTTTACATATCTAGCGTTTTCTATCTTGTCACCTATTTAGTAGAATCCATAAGTGCTTCACCAGCTTATAAAATTAATAATAACAGTGTTTATCCGCCTTGTGTGAGTGACGCTGGAAATTTGTGCTCAAACTATTTCAAACAGCTTCATTCGTTTTTTTTTTTTTAACTTCATCTTTACAATAGCAACGACGGTAAAATATAAAATGGTACTACTTGCTATTTAATATTCAGATCTAGAGTTCGAACTAACGTTTACTCCTGGAGGGCCATGCGACTAATTTATCTAGGTTCTCCGAAGGTATTGGCTATCTGAATCATTACATTCTTAATAGTACTGCAGGATATTGTTTTGTTGAGCTGCGCTATTTATATTTGTAAGCGCCGATACTCCAGCCTTAATAGACTTTGCTTCCATTTTTTTCATTGAAGAATTTCTTCAATTTGAAACTGAAGTAGCTTTTTGGCCTGGAAATGATCTCGACTAACCATTTTAATTAATACACTCGTGGGTTTTCTTCGTTCCATTCTAGACCCTACAAATCGTATTAGATTTTTGCAAATTTATTAAGCTCTCAGATTGAATAGTGTGCGTATTTCCTTTGAGAATCCTCAGAAAGAACTACGATTTGCTCGTTGTTTATACAGACACACCCCGTACCCCGAATTTAGAAAATAGCGACCTGCCTAAACTGAAACAGGCCAAACTAGACCTGAATAGGATTAAACCTTTCGTTTTCTGTTCCGCTATAGAAGAGCTATCATGAGATTGGTTTTAATGATGTCTGACGACCGACGGTTAGTTTAACTGCTCACCGCTCTATCATGAAATACACATAAAGGATGGTTCTAAATTTTCATCACTTCGCGAATGGGACCCTGGTAGCCATCGAAAGGCAAGTTCCCCTTTTGCATTTACTTGATCCCTTCTTCAAGTTATCCTCTGAATTTGCCTTTTATTTAAATAAATTAATTAGAAAAGGTGAACATGGGTTTATTGTGTCATAGCAACTTCCGGGTGTTTCCATTCGATTGGCTGAGGTGCATGGTAATCGTTTTTCTCAACTTCGCATTGAGGTAGACCTCGTTACTATGGGGTATCTTTAAATCGTTGTAACGACATACTTTACAGATAACACAGGATGGATACCAATGATGAAAAATGACACGTTAAGATAATCATAGCTTTTACGTGACATGTAATGAATTAAACACTTATTCTAGTTGCAATGCTTCGGAAACGTATGTCGGTGGATTTTCAGCAACTTGCTAATTCAACAGGATTTCTGGTGCAAGGAACACATTTGTTAATTGTACGATACTCTCCGTACTCAAGAAGTCGTAAGTTATCCTTCAACACCCACCAATCCACATTGGATGTTTCTTAGACATTTGTTTGCTAAAATATCTATTTAGTATGTAAAAGCATCGAGAGCATAACTTCATAAAGATATTATATGAAGTGAAGCTTAGGGGGCTTTTGTTTCTCTGAAATGTTGTATCTTTGTGCCTACCCTTCGGTCGTTTCTCACGCGCTCATTTTTGCGTATGGTTGACTCAGTTTCTGTCGTGAGATTTCTTTCTACATCTACAATGGATTTCTATCATCCAAGGTTGCTGCGACGTCTTCGTTCGAGCTGCCTGTTTCATTCAACCTGATGGCCCTGAACGTCTGGGAGGCAGTTTACCTCATCTTCATCTCGCTTCTGGAGACCTAGTTAGTAATCTTGTCTCAGTGTCACGTCTACCTGGTGGCTATGTTGATGCTGGGAACAGTGTAAAGGACATTATAAGGCCCTCGGTTATTGGAATATATGTGGAAATACCCCTATCCGTTCGATATCAATGACGAAATGATCTAAGCTAAGAAAGAATAACTTTGGCAGCCTAAGTCAGTGTATGTTTTCGTGTCTTCTTTTGTATTCTGTTGCCAGCGCGGTCACCTACCTGGAACGAACGGCCATTCCAGGTAAGTTATAATAAATAAGTTCAATCGAAAGTTTCCTACAAAAAGTATTGAGTACTTGGCCCGAATTGTTCTTCCTATTCTGTCCTTTATTTTGAATGTGATCTAGATCGCTATCTTTATTTGGATGATTCACTGCAAAGATAGAAAGCAGGAATACTGCTTATCGAAATGCTCCTTCCAGTAATAGTGAATCTAGAATTGATCCAGTTAAAGAGCGCTGATGATTTCAGCTGTGCGATTTCGTTTATTTGTGTTATACAGAAGCGCCTAGGATCGAACTAGGCCAACTTGTACTTATGTCTGAGCCGTTCGCTAACGGCCAAGCGAAGTTTTTCGGTTTTTACATCGAGTAAATTGTTTAATTAACCTTAATAAGTAACTTCTATGAGGTACGCAAAAGACAGGTACGTCTGACTTTAAGTATGCTATATAAAACTAACGTAATTTTTCTATTGAAATAAAATTTTTCATACTCGAGGGCATCAAAATATCAACAGTAAGCGACAATTATCGCAACAGGACAAGCATTTATCCATGTTGTATGTTTAGCTAAACGAAATCGATATCTTTATGGAGGTCAAAAACAATACAAACGCGCCTTATGTTATAGAAATGCATTTATACGTATTATGTGATTTTGTTTCATAAAATTGTCCAACTGCTAAACATCCATCGACATAACTATCACGCCTGCATTTACTAGTATTTACGTCAGTGGTAGCACTGTTTAAATTATTATCATTTTTGTGATCCTACTTCTCTTTATTATCATCGTTATTGTTATTGTTACTATTACAACATTGTTCGCTGTTGCCCCGTTCCGTAGCCAAGCCTTATATTGTAGAAAGTTTACGACGTCCTATAACACCCATCACGTATTTGGTAGTTGTCTGTTTCTGGCAGAAAATAAATTGCCATTGTGGGAGCAAAGCTAAACAGGGTATATAACGTGATCGGTATAAAAGTGCTCCGACTCTGATTCCCATCGTGAAAAACGTCGAAGCATGCCTTCGCGTAGCTGTTGGCAGGACTTCATGAGCTGCGACCCATTTCACAAACACGGTAACGTCGAGAAAAAAAATACCGCACCATAGCTTTTCAGACCATACAGACTATTTTATATTCGTCGTGTGCTAGCGGTACTCCTAGAAAGCGTACCAGGTCAATGGCTTATGAAAATATTTGGCCAAAGCGACGGCTGTGACATCGAAGCATCAACAAAGTAGGCTGGCGCTTTGAAAAATGCCAAAATACCAGAATTTAGGTACGGGTTCCCAGGAAGTCTATGGACGTTCACCGCGATAGAATAATAATTGAAACTGATGCTAATCTCCTCACAGTTCCATGAGAAGAGGCATGTTTTGGCGTAAATCCTCATAATTCAATAAGTGAGTGTAACCGAGATTGTGATTCTTAAATGCTGATTCAGCTTCGGTATAGCGTTGAGGTGCGTATTACTTCTTTCTTGTCTGGTAATAGTCTTCCGCTAAATTTGATTATCTCACGAATCACATACGCATTTTGTTTTGCTAAAAGCCCTTTCGAGATTCGAGCACAAACGGAAAAAGAGGGAATAAATAGGGGGCCACGAGTTCAGCTGAATGTTGCGTAAAACAAAAATGTTACAAAACATGTAAAAGTAGAGAGCTAATTATTACAGGTATAGTGTCACTCAATCCAGAACCGATGTTAGTAAAAATGCTACCCATAAAGGGCATAGTCTCAATACAAAGCGTTATTATTAACACGGTCAACCCTGACATTGACGATAAAAAGCGAAACATAGTTACCATCCAGATATTCTGTGAGGACGTAGCACTTAGAATAAAAAGAAATGTTGCTCAATAGAATGTCACCTTACGGCCGTTATGATGAGCACGACAGCCCCGAAAAGCCAATCGAGAAAGATCAAGTTTTAAGAAAAAAGCATTGCCGACCGTTTGCAGCGCTAGTGGTAAACGAGACTCGCTCCTGGGTAGCCCGTTCGATTCAAAATCCGGCCATTTGTACAGTAAACTGGCGTTGTCCTTTATTCATGTCGTATGAAGCTAGCATTGTGGAATACTTCCATGTATCGGAATATTTAACAAGATTCGTATTCGTCGTCAGCTAATACCGGAATGGCGTATCTCTTCCACGCTCGGCGTGGATGATGCACATCAATGCGGGACATCCCGCGTCGTCATTGGTGTCGTTACGTTTGTCCACGATACCGGAAACGCCCGTACACGCAAAAGCGCCAACATTACAGCTCTCAATACACAAACGATAGTAGATCTCACCTAACCTCATGATCGGAGCTTAATTTGGTACAATTAAGTTACTATTTATTTATTGATCGTAGTAGATACGGTAGCGTGAACACAACTAATCATATTCAGAACTGCACTTAGCATTGACACTCTATACTAAACCTCATTTTTCATGAAGTTGCTTAGCAGTCTAAACATTTTAACAGCGGCTAATGGAACATAGCTTGGAAGAAACAGGCGGTTTAAGTAATTTAACAGACCTAGATAACGTTACCGTGTTTATCACCGTGGACGTTTTTCTTTTATCATACCACCATTAACTATCTTTCTGCTCAGGCCTGTCGCCATATACCGCGATATCGTCTAGAGCTACCTACAAAAAGCGTTTGCGCGAAACATCTTGCCCGAAAAAGGGTTGACGCCACAACAATCGTCTGTGATAAGTGTGATCTATGATATTTGGTCACAATGGCCACCAATAGTTGCGACCTGGCGATCTGTTCCTCTCTGACTCACCAGCGGGCTCCTATCTGATTGACAAAATAAGTCTGTCTGCCTCGATGTAGCTCGACTTATTGTCAACGCCTTTGAGTTGAGTGGGAACATCATCGAGGAACCGCGACAGTAGCAAATGGGTGAATACCGCCCTGCCAACGAGGGCGATGTTCGCGTTCGAGATGATGATCGCTTAGGGATATGACATCAGGCGTATGTAACTGCGAGTAAACGACTACAATAATCTGTCTGCGATCAGCCGGAGTGCCTAGTGCATTGACTCGATCGAGAGCAATTCAATAATAGTCTGACATAGATACATTAAAGTGTGTTAGTCATATCGTAACGGCGTAATCCATAATGCCGTTCGTAGTTCTAAATGCCAGGCGAATCTGATGCCAAAGGACGACATGCTTAGTCGTTATCGACGGCTTACCCTTTATGAAATGGTGTTGAAAACTTGTGCGTCGGAAAGCGTGCTCCAAGCCAGGCATCTAGGACAGTGCTTGAGGGCATTTAGGAAAAGATATAATACTATTTAAAGATATTCCCAACGATCGGATACCCCTTTAGGATGGCCGCTTTAAATAGGTAATAAATAAAAAATGTAACGATGATACTCATAATAGCGGCAACATCAAGATTAGTCACAGACGTAAGCTTAGGTTGTTGAAAGAATAGTTATTGCAACATTATAGACAATCATGAGCGTATCTAATCTGCTTTAGAACATTTGTTTTCATAGTAATATTATGCAAAGTCTTCTCTGTATTACAGGCAACTTTTACTGAAAATAGCTGAATAAGTGCATTTGAAACTGTAACACATTTAGGCACGCCCAGCAGAGTTTTAGTTTTTTATCGAGGAAGCATCGGCATATGCTCTTGCTTGTTTTTAAGGCGATCTAAATAACAATATGTGATCAGGTAGCTACCTAGTGTGTTTGCTACCTATGTTTTGGTTATCGCAAGCAATTACACGCGCGTTCGTTGTGCTCTTGATGGGACAAAGCTTTCGAATAGACGCTGCTGATGCATATGTTTTTAGTGCGGGCTTTTAAGAAAAATCGCACCGTTACTAACTACTGGTAGTAGTTGATGAGGTGAGAAAAATACACGAAGGATATGCCGCGCGACGATTTGCTTTCATGACCTGCCTTTACCTGGCTGGCTGTGCCAAAAAGGTCGTGTGCATTCCCAAAAAGCCCACCCGTTCGGTTGGTCATTAGGCAATAGAACTACGTTAATTTCTGTCTAGGGTTACTCTTTATCTAGGCATCCTGGAAAAAGCTGGACAGTCGAAAAAGATTATGCCTGAAAAGGCAACATACTTTGACATAATTTGAACAAGCAAATACAATGTTATACGCTGCTTGTAAGAACGCTTTCCGAGTTTCAGATATTATATGTACTGATGCTGTGTGCTATAGGCACACATATATTGCCGACTCGAAGCTACCTCTTATTAATATTAAAAGCTAACAGTTTTCCCGCCAGTCTAATGTAGCAGTTTATTGATCGAGTAGTCTGTGCGGGAAAAAAGCAGACGTGCAGGTGTGATGCCTGTAATTATTACATGTCGTGTTATTTACCGGCCGATTGGTTAGACGATACTCTGAACTAGAAGCTTTCCGATCTACAATCTTCCTTCTGCCGACGAGGGTTGAATAATAGAAAATATTTTAGGCTAAGTCATGTTAACTCGAACTAGGCTCACAGACTTAAGTGCGAAGTGCAAGTAAAGCATTTCGAAAGCTTTGAAATGTTTTATATACCTGTTTTCTTTGTGAATGCTCGTCTTAAGCTTAAGTTGAGCCCATTTCCGCTTCATTTTTGTACACATGTAGTGTAGTTAATTAAAAAAAAGCGTTACATTAGGTAGCGTAATATAGATGTATCAGGCATTGATTTTGTTCGTCATTCTTATATATATATACATATATTAGAAAATCAAGTTGCTTTTAGATTAGCTTCATAAGTGTTTTTTGCGACTATATACTAGCCAGCTAGTAAGTAATAACTATTCGTAAATGACTGTGATACTGTAATACGCTTTATATCCTTGCAGATAATTACGACCTCCTTGTTCACGTTAATTTTCCTCTTTTTTCCGTTGCCCGCTCTATCTTCTCACCATTCCCTAGTGAAAATGAAATTCCCGTAACGGTCCGGATAGTACACCATAGCACAACCGATAAAGTTGACCTTTGAGGCAGCCTATTTGACTTCTCGGATATTTTTCGCTGCCCCCCTTTCGCTTTTCTAGACGTTGTTCTCGGGTTTAATCAACAAAAGCTCTGTAACTGATCTATTTTAATGCTTCAAACATCCCATCGGTTCTCTCCTATGTAATTCAATATACATGACAATAAAGAATATGAAAATGGTCATATTCTTCAACGAACACGCCTTTAAATATCGCACAATATAGAGGCAACGTATTGCATTATTTACTCTGTTCGTCAGATAGGCTTTCGTTTCAAGGCCATCTGGGGAGTGAACAATCCTGTCCCTATTTGAAGCTTTTCTTACCGATCTAGCATTTGCCATTACGGACACTGATTCATTTACCTGTATTAGGTAGCCTACGAATTGTTTCATGCAACTTGCATATTTCTTAGGTACTAATATTACCCTATTCCAACATCGAATGCTTCTCTTTTACCACAGTGTCTTTCGCGAATAAAGGCTGATGCATTATGCAGACCCAACTTTATTGCTGAAGCGTGCAATTAGTACTGTGGGGCTCCCATTAAATCGACATCGAATTTCATTTCACGTACCTATTCTACCGCCAAATATCTGATCGAAGACGGGATTATTTCGAAAACATGCAGTTAACTAACTACTAAACAAATTTCATATCTATTTAACACGGATATCGAAGATCGAAGATGGACGACCGAAATTTCAAGAACTTAGCAGAAAAATGGTTTGATAAAAGGAACCATTTGGTTTGCCTTCACTGTAACATGTAACCGTAGGTCGCATCCGGACGTCAAGAGAAACAAGAAAAAGCTTAAGTGAAAATAAATTACTCACACAAGAAATAATGATATAAATTAGTGAAATGTTATTAAACAAGCCGAACCCTATCGTATTCAATTTACGTGTAGAGCATCTTTACATCATTCACATTTCTCAGTAGTTCTCGTGACGAGCATAATCTCCTAACAACTGCAATTTCGCTTCCGACCAAACTGTAAAAATCAACGCCAGACACACCGAGTTTGAAATAGTGTATCGGTATAATTCGCTGAGCACTGCAAAACAATACATTGTTACAGACGTGGCAGCATAAAGTTCGTATTACTTCGTAAGCGGAGTAACTCAAAGACAGCCTAAAGCTGAGCAAACTAGTTTGATGTGTACATACGAATGAAAAACTGTGCAAGAATGGATAGCTTAAGATCTAACAGCATCATTTTATTCAAATAAAAATTTGTCTCAAAGTAATGTAACAAAGATGACCCTCTTAAATTATTCTCGATAATTAATAGCCTACTCTGTCTTGTTATCGTCTCTGGTATCTCTTAAAGTGAATGAATATTAAAATTAACTATACATATTCGGAAGCTGCTACCAAATTAAGAGGAACTGTACGAATATCTTTTCCCAAATACCATGATTGGCGCACACGTTTATTCTAGCACGGAAAATAGTTTTTTTTTTAGTTCTATCGTAATTTAAAAGGGCTCTTTATATTCGATCGCAGCGCATTATTATTAGCATTACCATTTAGCTGGCCTACAGATCAGGTTTTGCACATCAGACTACAGAAATCGTTGAACCGTCGCACGATTGTTCTGACACAATACGATATAAAACCTTTTTCATTTTGCTGGCCTGTTGGCGCTTCCCACGAGCGCAACATAAGTGTCGATTGATATTTGATCAGTTCGAATGACTATAAAGTAGTAGTAGGTATTCTTTGTTAAATATATATATATATATATATATAAATGTGAAATCTTTCTAACAGAACTACGAGAAAGCATGCAAGCAGCTACTAACCATAGTTGTAAACCCTTATTTTTCTTAGCTCCTTCTTTTCTTGAATGCTTTATTTTTTTGTCTTGAATTTTTGTCAATATTGAGATTTATACTAGTGTAGATAAACTTTCAACAATCTAGAAGACCATACATTTGCACTATTAATAAAAAAAAACACAAGGTTTGGTTTATTGTAGCAAAATGACAATAACAATAACAAAGTTACCAGACAGCCGCACTAAATTCTCGTTTCTCTAGAATCTGCTCCATTTACTATTTCTGATCTTCAAGAGCGTTGCCGATCCACAGTTACAGCAGCATCTTTTTGCATATCTAATTTTTTCAGCTTTTAAACGACCCGCGATAACTGCAACAAGCTGTAAGCAATGCCCGCTATATTTAAAAAAAAAAATAGAACTAGCCGAATCCAAGTTACTTCGATCTTGTCGATTTAAAGTGTGTCTACATCAACGTAGTTCTCTCTAGTCTTTAGCAGTGAGCCTTTTGTATAGCGTATTATTACCCATCAACTGGTACACCTAAATTACCCTGTGGAAACTCTAGGTTAAGAGGACTCCAATATGACGCCTGAGCACTTGGATCTACTGGTATCGTTGTTGTGTAGTGTTCTCGGCATTGCCACTTTAGGTCTCGCTTTTGTGTATCATATAGTCGACGTCAAATTGCTGAAAACACCTCCCCTGGGACGGTTATTTCTTTTGAGGTTTGTATTGAACGAGCTAGTTATGCAATCAATCTATCGAGGCTTACAATTCTGTAATGCATTTTTTACGTAGCAAACAACTACATCTTAGATAACGAAAGCTGATCTAGATGGGAAGGGCTCGTCCATTTAAGCAGCTTCTTGAGTAGAATACTGAAAATCTAGCATGGATGTAGGTAAACAGTTGACTCGCATTAAGTTACTTCAATAAGCACCCCTTAGAGCGTGGAGCTAGCAATCTAAATACACGCACCATGAAAAGGTCGTATGTCTGGTACTATCGATTTTCATTTAGTGTATTTAGATATTAGACTTCAAGTTATACCTAACTTTAACCCTGACATCCAGTGACAACTGTACTCGCTACATGAGATTCGATCTAATTTTTTCTCTTAACAAAGTGTTATAAAATGTGGCTGCTGTCTCGACAGGAATTTTACGGATAATCGAATACTACTGTATTTCAGGTACCTCAATAGAAGCTCTGCACCAGAAGCTTTCAATGATCAGTCTTCGGAACTAGCCAGAGGCGCCGGCGGTGATGGTCCAACACGACCCTAAATCTTCCGAATTCGTCTTCTGGTAAATGAAACTCACACTATTCACCCGTGAGCGTGCATCAAGATAACTGCAAGAGCAGCAACTCAGTTCCCTGGAAGTTCACTGTACGGTGTTCCTTATTGAAGCTCACCGACTTTAATGATTTCCTAGGGATACCACGGAACTAGTCCCATTTATATTTTGTTGATCTACACATGAGGTAGCTTAAATGACCGATCTTGTTATAATAATAGAAGATGAGTGTCGCGGAGCTATAGTTTAGGTCAATCTTATTAAATAAAGCACCACAGCGGAATTCAACTTTAATTGAGTCCCACTATGGTAACTTATAAGGAGTACAGAAAATATTCATGATTATTGTATCATTATGATCATAATCGCGTGATCATATCGCGAGAATCATCATGATCCTCCACTACTGAGCACAATGTGTGTACCGAACAGCCAACTAATATTTATGTAGACTGATTTCTTTTTTGCGCGATTTGTAAAGCAGTAAAGTAACTACTGGCCCTTGCAATTGGACAAGCTCGAATAATGATAAAGTTGAACGAAGTACATTTTCCAGGCGAACGCTCGGGAGGAAGTGAGAAATCGGCGATACTGAATGACTCAAAGCACATTGTCCGTTCTATCTTATTCCACTCGCAATTTTCATTTGAAGGCGAGCTAATGATTATTGTTGTCGTTTTTACAAAAGTATCGAGGGAAGTTAAAGGGAAGCAAGCGAATCAACTTTTCTTTGCTTATTTTTATCTATTAGACAATTTTTAATAAAACAACTAGTTTCTCTCCATTTAATGCGATGTCGTTGCTTGTTGTTCCGACACAAATAATCTAGATCTTACATATAGGGTTATTAACTTTGGACGCAGTTTGAACCTTAAACTTCAGGCACTTAGTTTTGAATATCTAAATCGCATATATATTTAGGTCTCATCCTTATATAAAGGGAGGGCTATCCGGTCTGGAACAATCATTAGCGTCACTTTGACATCTACCAAAATGACATAGTGTATTCTCATAAATCTTCATCAAGCAATATATGTTTTAAGTACAACAGGGAAAAGGGAACCTTATTAGCGTTCTCAATCTATGACAATCCATGGACAGTGGAAAAACCTAGAAAAATATCTGTACCGCTCTTACAGAATTAGGATCACATGCGTGCGAAAATACCGACAAAAACGGTTCACAGTGGTAAAGCAAATAACTGCGACTAAGGAAAACAAAAGAGGTCTGAGAATTATAATTGTATAACATTTCTAATGGATAAATATTTACGTAAACACATGCTGTACAAACAATCTGTCCTTGTTACCTATTACTCTATCTATTGAGTTGTTTTGTTCTGTTGAAGTTGCTGCAGGCTCGATAGTGGGCTGTGTACTCGGAAATTATCTCTATATTTGTAACTCAATGAAGTAAGAAGAAGCATGTGCACAAATGACTACTCGCCTAAAGAAGGAGTGTTACGGAGTAATCAGTCGAATTTGTTACAGCCTATTTTTTTTCTCAACGCCACTGAGCCGCTGGACTTTGTTTACCAAAACGACAGCTCGTCGTCACCAGTCACACACTACAACGTTGCCCTCTTGTCCACATGGAACAGCGGCACAGGTCAGCAATTACGTAATGGTTGGACACGATTAACTTTCATTCGAAACATTACGTCTCGTTTCATACGAATTGCACACACACATGCACGCACGTACGAATATGCACACACACGTATGCATATGCATATGTACACATATCATTAAGTACTTGTTTTCATTGCACAGTGTTAGTGCAATCGTTTGCAGATTGCATAACCGTAAAGAATTACGTGAACATAAATTATTGGGAAAAAGAAGAAGAATAAACCCACAAGAATACCAAAGACAGAAATTCGACAAACACCCGATTATTGTAGGATATCAGATATAGACCATAACTACATGAAGCCCTAACAAAATTTAGGGACATTACATGTATATGTTAGTAGGTGTGAGCTCACGAATAGTTCAGAAATTTTTAGCTTTCAACTAAAAATATTGCATCAGTGCGTTGCATTACGGAGTCAAATATACATTACAACTTTCGACGGCCTCAATTTAACATAAATTTGTAACGATAAGTATGTTTAAAAGCTAATCTAGAAATGCTTAACCGTACGTCAAATCAAATGTCGATCGGCTACACAAAGTTCAAGGGCACACTGCGTATCGTACTTCCAATTCTCTATTTAAACACGCTGAATTAGTGAATTATTTCCCAATTGAAGGAAACATACAAGGCATGGTACAAAGCAACAAGCTTTGCATGTATTGGAAATAAACGAAACTCAGCAGTTCAGATACTGGAACAGTCTGACCATATTTTAAGCGTAGTTTTTGTTGATTTAACGCTTTTGCGACGGGCGGATTTCAGATCATTATTCAAATTTACTAAACTGCTTTCAGAGCAAGTTTTCTGAAACGGCCTAACAAAATCGAGATTATTCTATCCGATCAGGTGTTAATGGTATACATCTATGGTATACTGAGTTTTGGGCACAGCCAATATGTATGTAATATTACATAATTATTTAAAATTCCTTACTTTTATGATTGCTTAATCTTAATTTCGTATTTGTAAACAACTCGCCTTCTTGCGACATTATCTCTATTATATTATTATTATTATTAAACCAAATCTCGGTGGTGTAAGCCTTGCCGTCGACAAACTACATATGTGTGTAGTTATATGAAACTGGTTCAACTATTGAATGGATTTTTTTTTATACATTCTACTGTTGCCAGCTTTATTGGCGCTACTTAGCCATCCGATTTGACTGCATTTTATGAACTGATGTTTTCTTTCTTATTTGTTACGTTTGTGATTGCTGACGAAACTGGCCTTGGGTTTTTTAGAGCTCATTGAGAAACGATGCTTTGTTTTATAAATGCACAATGATCTCTTGAGCCATCTAGGGTCAAGTGCTGAGAACGTGTTTGAGACTTTTCCAGTTCAGTACGAGACAAGCACCTCTCCGTTTCTTCATGGGAAGTTTGTGGAAAGATCCTATATTTTCTTCTTCGACTCCAATTACAACTGAATAAAATGTTAAATAACAGAAAGAAAAACTATTCGTATGCATCTGACATATTATACCGTTTAGCCAAGGCTGACTTAATAAGTTGTTTTTCTTGGGTGGGCCATAGCTTTTTTCTTCTCATATTGTATTGACCAGCTATTATGTAGCCTCAGTCGATGTGACGCTACCAGCCGAAGTTGTCTCATTGTAATGACGCCTCTCGTACCTGTTTTCCACGCGTATGAATAGAAAGTGAAGATATTTGACGAGTACGCGTCGCCACTGCTCTGATTCTTTCAAGATTGTCTACACATCTGCCAGTCAATATATGTATGCATTCTACATTTTCATTCGTTAAGCGGAAACAGCTATTTTTAAGCAAAGCATTGACGTGAGCTTGAATGCGAATACAAGCGAAAGCGATATCTACTAGTCAACGAGCCGGACGGCCGCGTTTTTGAAATTATCTTTGCTAGCGATTTCCAGTCATCAATAGCAGATATTTTACCCTTAGACGTCGATCACACAATCTGATCGGTTCAGCGCATCGGTACGAATCTATACATGTACTGCACAAAAATTTTTAGAGACTTCATATAGACTTGGTTGTGGAGTGTGACAGTAATGGTTTGAAGCACTAGCAACAGCGTTCGCAGTTGTTGCGAGACAACAATTGGTGTGTAATGGCAAAACAATGCTATCACGAGGCCCATTATTCCTTGTTGTTCCTTGAAATATACCGCGTATGCGAAACCATCAGAGACTGAGTTATTTTGAATGACTACATCGCTATCTGAAGAAAATACCATGAAAAATCGGTGTTTTAAAGATACTTGTGCTGTATATACATGTATATATATATAGAGGTCATGAGCTATAATGTCGTTACCAACTATACGTTTTTACCATCAATAAAAACAGCATAATTGTATTTATTTGGGCACATTCTAACAGCAAAATTAATGGGTTTATTGAAACAATTTTATAGATGAAGGAAGATAAACATCATGTATATATATGTCCAAATCATTATGCACATCCTCGTCCTTCATATACCAAGCATAATTATATCAAACATAGATAAACGACAAACGATGTCTCTATAAACAAAAATATCTTTATACCTAAGCTTACGTCTACATGGTGTACGTAAAATTACCACATCGAACATACGTTACAATTGTAATTTTTGTTTTTTTTTGCTGCTAATTTCATTTAATTATTAATTATATGATTTTATACGAATTTATAAGCAAATTTAGCGACACATATAGAAATAGTGTGTAGAAATGTTTATAGAATCTCGTGGTTATTTTACTTTTGCACTAGAAAGCTATTTCAGAGACAATAATTATATATTTTTGCTTCGGCCCGATGTAGATAAGCGTTTTTCTTATATGTATAACGATACTCCCTTTATATTACAAGTAGTAAAAGCGTTAATGGGTTTTAAGTTCTTTTTTGTTGAATATGCATCTTCTGAAACAGTTGAAACGAAATAGAGAATATCTGACTAAAGCGAATACGATAACAAATCCCAAATAAGTCAATGGTTAGTTCGACAAGCACCTGGGGACCAAGCATCATTATAGTAACTTCACGGATGGCTAGATCCGTAAACATGTCCTGCACATGTGATGTGTGTATAAATTAGCATCAACTTATAACATTTAGCATTAATTATTTTTATAGTTTGCTAAGTTATTTACTTAAACGTGTTTTTCGGTCACGTACTCACTAAACAGGTTTCAGTGTCGGACCGAACATAGCCAGCACGACGGGCAGGAAGATTAGCCCATGAGCCGACCCTACCAATACAATGCTAAGATACATGCGAAAATAAAATACTACAAATAGCTGACTCTTGGCGAAGGCAAGTACCAACACTCCGGCAAATTTGGTCATCGTAATACCGCTCAGCACCGAGCTGCCCACCTCGGTGAGGGCTCCAACGGCCCTGTCTACAGGCAACTCTTCGCTTCGACTATAAAATGCCTTAGTTACATGCGAACAGAATTCGACCGAAATCCCGACGCACATTACGAGATTTACCATTGAGATAGCATTTAGCGCAATTCCAGCGAAGTACATGATACCCATAACATCGAGGACGATCATCAGGATGGTCACGCAAATGGCTAGTGTTGGCAAAAGACGGAACCGCGTAAGCAGTAGCGTAATAGTCAAGACACCCAAAAACGACAGCAACAAATGGATAGCTGTATCTCTCCAAATGGTTAGATACTGCTCGTAGAATACATAGAAGACGGAATAAGGAAACACTTCGACGTCATTCTTGTTCCCAACGTAGCTGTCGCGAACCTTTTCCTGAATTCGGTCGGTTAAGTAACGGCTCATTCTCAGAGCAGCAATGTAATCCGTGCTTGTCTTCAACACCGAATGATACGTCATGAAACTAGTGGCGAGGATCTCAAAACCATCGGTTGTGTTCTTCAACTCTACCGCGGTACTATATGCGGCATGGCCCGCTCTGGCACATGACCCGTCGGGATTCTCAGAAAGAAAATCGTTTATGTGCTTCGTGAAGCTATTATTCCCATTACAGTTTTTGCAGCATGATGTAATCCAACCAAAATAGTCATCTATCCATGACATTGCAGGCGCGGCGACGTACGTAATACTTGCATTCAGATATGCTTGTTTGACCTGGTTAACGAGAGAGTATCCACTGGAGCCTGGGAACGAACCAATTATGTTCTGGTTTGTTGGTTCGTTATAATCATACTTATCCTTAACGACCAGATACAGTGGAGGACCAATATTCAGAGAAATTTTGAGCGATAGAAAGTACTGTTGCAGATAGGAATCTTCTGGTATTGAAATTTCCTGATCAAGACCGATATCCAGCTTATGGATAACAGCAATTGACAGGAAGAACCATGCGATAAAGGCTACAAAGACGCCATTTCTATACTTGGAGCCTTTAAGTAGAGGTGCGTATTTGCATTTCATAAAGCTGTATAACCAAGAGTCCTCGAATTGTTCTCTAGTGTTATCCTCGGACGTCTTCTTTGATGTAACGCAGCAGAACAGATCGAGACGACGAGCTTCTTGACGACGCACGTCAAGCGTAAAAAATGCCACGAATACGGTAATCTGTAATAGAAAGTCGATGAGCAATGCCAGACCGGCATAAAGTGCAAACTTCTTCACTGCAGGCATGTCTGTAAGGGCACCAAGGAAGAAGCAAGTGCATTCGCTTGCACTGGCTAATAGCATCGAAGGTCCTACTATACCAAGGACACGAGCCATGTGTTGCTCGACACTTTCGCCATCGAGGCGCGTTGTGCGCTGATGCGTTTGTACCAAAATGAAGATGTTATCCACTCCAATGGCCAGCACCAAGAACGGAATAACTTCGAATATAATCAACGTCGAGGAAACGCCGAAAAAGCTGAAGATACCAATACTGGCAGCTACCGAGACGAAAACTAGCAATATGCCCATGATTCCAAGCGTTATCTGGCTGTCTAGAAGAGCCGTCGACCAGGTTCGGTAGCGACCAAGCGCAAACGATACGTAGGCGAACATAAAAAGGTAGCTGATCACGATAGTCCAGACATCGGAAACACTTGCTCGTGTGAGTTCGTCGTTGATCGAGCTTTCTGATAAGAACGAAATGTCCATGTGAGAATGGTTATAACGCTTCATGAATTTAACGAATTCGCGTTCCCATGCGATTGCTTGCGCGTTGTCTGAATCATTGACATGGTTGTTAACCAGGAAGGTGAGTATCAACGAACGGGCCTTCAGTGCGTCCGTACCGTTGTAACCTCCCAGTGCTACATAACTGTAGCTTGGACCCCCAAAATCGCCCAGACAACCGATTTTAAGTACGTTATCGAAATCTCGCGTAATGGTTGCACTGCTCACACAGTCAATAATATGCTCCAGGTATTTTGTTCCATTTATAATATGCGTAGCTTGATTCTGGAACCAATTAGCTGCTGACTGGATGGCACACTTATGGTTCCCGCCTAACGGTTTAAAGCAGATATCATCTAGGACTACGGTCTTATTGTCTTTAAAAGTCGCTTTCAGCGCCATAATCTCTTGCTGAAGATGAAGTACATCGAGAAAGAATTTTCTCTCGAAGACCGGACCAAATTCATGCTCTAAATTCCTTTCTGTATCAGTATAGTTAAATGATTTTCCATATTTGTTTCGAACGATCACTTGCTCGATTCGATAGAATGGGCCTAGATGCTTATTATAATAGTCCCTTTGCGTGTGCGCGAGAGAGGTTGAAACTGACCACAATTCAACTGGATCTGTGACCACTTCGAAACGCAAATTACCCATGGAAAATAGAATGACGCAAGCTAAACCCAACAAAATCACGAGCCACGGTCGACTAGCGCATACGTATCCTAGTCGCTCAAACGCACTCATCACAACACAGGGTCTATCGGCTTTTTCGCCGTCATTCATTTCCGAGACGATTTCATCATACTCAGAGGTAGCAGTGGTTAACGCGGTCAACAGTGATCGTCGCCTACGATAAACACAAAGGGTTGAGATATAAGCGACAACTAATACACTGAAAAACAGGCTCAATGTAAAGAACCATACATCGATGCCGAAAATCGAAAGGTCACACTCTTGAGGGGGAAGTGGGAACGGTGGACATGTAGAACTACAGTCGACGCATTGACAGGGACTTGATCCGTTAAACGGACTTTTATTGCATGGTGTTGCATTTGCATTTAAGGGAATGAACGGATCCAGAGCTGTGTAACTAAAGTTGATCTGGAATGGAGACGGGAAAGGCGAGCTGCCCATGAACTTCAAGAGGTTGGTCGGTGTGCAGTACAGAGCGCCAAAGTTACCACATAGCAGTGTTAATGCTGATCCAGTCTGTGGATTAGTTACAGTCGAGCAAGATGCGTATGCACTGTTTATGTAATCCTCTGATATGTAGTAGGTGAGACCCAACACCGCTTTATTGCCATACCGCGTTTTGTTGACAGGGGTCCAGCTGGTTACATTCAGAAACTCATGCTGATTTGGCGAGCATGTGCTTTGACAGAAGATTCTTGCTATATTTACATAGCAGGAAGGACAATGCCCGACGACGGCATCCAGTGTTTTCATCTGATTGATTATATTCTGGGCTGATACAGAGTCACAGCACAAAGGTTCTTCAGGATCAACGAAGTCCGAACAAAACTTCCGCAATTCATTGAATAGTCTGGTTGAGTTTAGCGGCTCCGGCTTTGTGTCGTCACCCTCGGAAACGCAGGGCTTGACAGTAAGGTATATGTCACATTGTCCCTTGAATACACACTCGGCATTGGTCGAAACAGCGAGCTCCATTATGAGACATAATGAAATCCATCGCCGCATAGTGCCGACCGTGTTTTTTCCATTTGTCATGTCTTTGGCTTGCTCGTTTTTCTAAGTGACCCAAGTGACACTACCACTTTAGAAAAGCACAATCGCTTTACTAGCGTCTATACACATTTCTGATTATATCGCAAATTGACTGTTTACGTCCACTAAGGTTGTCCGCGTATAGCCACTGCATGAAACTGTTGCGCTTCAGCAAAACTCTTAGTAGTCGCCGCTCTCCAGTTGTGACGTTGCACTCGAAAAGCACTTCTCTCTAATCAAGCCTAGTAAATCCAACAGTTTCAATTTGGTTTAATTTCTCCTCATTTCTACAGCTGTGATAATCCAGTCTAATCTGCGAATTTGGGCTGCTGCTGAGACTAGTTGCCCTCTGCCTTGCCGCCACAGTCTTTTTCGTCTTTGCGAACTATTATCACAGACTTACATCGAGATTTCTTTAAAAATGCTACAAATAGTCGTAATTGACCGTCAGGAAAACAGCAAATTTGCACACAAATTTTCTATCTGTACAAACACGAACTTCTATGAGTTACCCCTCGAAATATATTGATCGCCAAAATTGCGACTTAACGATGACACAGAAGTTCGACAGACGTTAGATGAATCAACTGTTCACGATGGTGTACCGGTAGCACCAAACTTAAATGTATGTAACTGTCTAAGCTCGAAAGTGGGCGTTTACGGACATTGCTTAATGTTAGGAGTTAACGACAGCAGAAGGTATAAGAATCGAATAATTTACGGTGGCCAGCATGCAGCGTTCAATAATAGATGGTAGTTTTTTGCCGCTAATCAGCTAATCTAGTACGGCTTATTGTTTTGATGTTAACACTGGTTAAAATGTGAGTAATGGTGAAAATGATGATAACAAGCGATGATGTTAGTGATCCCAATTTGTTGAACGGCTAATAGTGAAGGCTAGAGAGTGAGCTGGATATGGGCAAAATAAACAGAATGTGGTTGAAATATACCAACCATTTGGTAGCAACTTACCGGGTTCACCGTATTTGTAAACACGGCTTGTCGAGCAGAGCCTTGAGTTCGACATAGGAGTGTTGCCATTGTTTGAGTTTTGTGTCAGTGCAAGTATGCATTCAGTAGAGTGCTTTTTGCCGGTTTATTGACCATTTACTTATTTGACAAAACAATGCGTCTAGTTAAAGCTGAATTGTGCCATACATTTTCTATTGTTTCGTGTTATCAATAGTATTTCAGTTATTTATCCATCCGTGTTTATGCAGTACTACCCTATAGGCGTAGTACCATAACTCATTAATTTAGTTTTGAGATAGTTGGCTGAACGTAGCGTACTGGTCAACAGTCTCGAACTTCACACGAGGTTTTTTAATGCTAAATGCAAGGCCACTGTGAAGAAATTAGCAATTATTATATAACTTTGGCATAAGCCATAAGTTGAAAAACATGAGAAAACCTTCACATTTAAAGCTGATACGTCAAAAAAAAACTGAATAATTTAATAAGGAACATAGAGATGCCTTTAGGAACTTGTCTGAACAACGAGATGACCGTTACGAGTTTGTCAAGCGCTCCTTAGCAGTGGAACATTTAAGTTACTGCAGATTTAAGCCGACATTTTAAGGTTAATTCATTCTGCGATATTCGATTCTTCGATTTCTCAGCGGGTCGTGGCGTTTATTCGTGCGGTTATTAATCTAGCTCACCATTAATTCCAATTGAATTAAAGGCGTACGTGCTGCACAAAACGTTCTCAATCGTGCCTTTGAACCAAAGTATTCATTTAGCCTTCGTGTTCGACAGAGTACGAACCTCATTACTTCCTAATTTTGCCTTTTTATCACGTTAGCACCCCGTGGTACATCGGCCAACATATCCGTAGGACGATACGCACCAAACTCATTGACAAGCGCAATTGTCAAATCTCTGTGCAGGGAGTTTCTATCGTTCTCCAGCCGTGATCTGCGTCTAGTGGGACTGTGTGGTTGAACCGAACAGTGCGCCGGCTGGGAAGCTGGCAATGGACAACAGCGACACTTGGAAGGACATTCAGGCCCTGAAGTCCCGACAGAGCAGTTTTAGGGAAAAGCTTCTTAAGCGGAAGAAAGAGCGCGAAGAAATCGTTTTAGGTAAGAAAAAAGGATTCCGAACTTCGATATGGAATCGTACGTGAACTAGGTTAGAATATGTGAAATTTTTCGACAGGAGTTTGAAGTGATGTTTCTTGTCAATTCTACCCGATACCTCGAATTGAACCTTCATCCATCAAAAACGAAACTAGAATGACTATCACAATTTGCGTGGAACTCTGAAAATTATTTTCAATTATAATCGATTATTGTACTTCTTATTATTATAAATTATTGGAATTATTGTTAATATTGTATTATTGGAAGTAAGAAGTTAATTATTAATTGCTTAGATGGCGTGAAATATAAAACTATAGACAAATAATAGATTTAATTTTAATTTATCAAACAGATCGCAACATTCGTGTGATTGTTGTAGTTAGTATCGATTCAAAGCATGATTGTTGGATGGTAAGGTGAATCTTGCTTGCGTTTCTATAATTTTTATTCTGGTAAGGGTAAATCGTTCCCCTCAGTGTCCCTAAAAACGTTAGATTGAACTATGTGAATCTAAATTTAAGGTCTGAGATATTTTTGATATTAATCTAATGTTACGGAGTGGTGCGGAAAAATTTAAAAGGATGTAGATCATGTTTTAGCGTTTCGGAGTGACGAAGAAAATTACCATTTAGACAGCTAGTTTCATATTCTGATATCCGCTCCGTTATTAGATAATGATAAAGATTTTCAAGTAAGTCCAGCAAATCTAAACATTAACCTAATTGACATATTAGAGGATATTAACTATGTTTATATGACCATGATCGTTATGTTTATGTTTGATTTAAAGAAAATCTTTTACAGCTTATACCAGTTAAGAATCTTTGCAATATACTAAAAAAGTTCAGGGCCTGAGCCTTAAACAACAATCAAACCACATTGTTGGTTGAGACAGGTAGAATACATACGTATTCTAAATACGGTCTATCTGTCTATACGTAAAACGGGAAAATGGTTTTCGAAAATTGCCTATAATTCTGGTGGCATTTTAAAAATGAAAAAAAAAAGACCTGTCGCATTTTTGTCTATCTTTACATTTCCATATTCAGTCCACAAGCTATCACCCCTTTGTATGTTGAACATATCGCAAACGAATAATGATCTAAAATACTTGAATTGGTGCCATTTGGCATCTGATTGAATCTTCAACAGCGTCTTCACTCGCTAAAGTTCTTTGGAAGACAGTCCAACTGCATGGAGCGCCATTTCAGAAAAAAGCACGATGCACTGGGAGTAGTTAATTGAGCATCTACGTTACATCATGACGAAAAGTAGAAAAATAGATGTCTTCAATAGTCGCAACATTTTGAACTCAAAAAAAATTAACGAAATGTGCGCAGGATTAGCAACGAAACAAGCTCAGAGTACGTCAAAACCATATAGCGGTGGAAGGTTCTTTTCCACCCACGGCGTTTGCTTTTACGGTACTTATTGGAATATGAGCATTTTGCGCGGCAACTTGAAAGTATCAATTAAACGATCATCTAGCAAAGTAGCTGCGTCGCAATCAGTAATTTAATTGTAATTAACGCATACCAGATAACGCAAAATGAATTAAAATATATGAGTCAATAAGATAATTTTATATCCATATTACTCATCAAGATGTAAATTAACGCAATTAATTTAACATTGCATCGTTTTTTATTTACAATATAATTAAAGGGCAGCCTGTAAAATACTGTCAACATCTTCATGTGGCTCTATGTCGAAATTTACCAATTTTACTTTGAAATCCGCCAATTGTTTTTTTGCAGCCTATGCTTGAAATAAGAGTAAGTTCCGTGAAGACAACTAAGATACTCATGTTTGTTACCTTTGTTTTCGATAATTGATTCTTTAAACGTATATTTACATACGTCCGCACACAAGGAATATTTTCACTAACTTTTAACCCATGACAAATACATCGAATTATCGGTGGTCCACCTTTAAAGAAGGTTTAGTACGCAGACTTACAACACAATGTTAAACCATTTATAAGTAAGTCTACAGCGCTCAACGCAGAATCGAGTCAAGGATTTTACATAATCTCTATTGATGAATTCAGTGTCTGGATGAGTGCAGCTGTGTGAATCGTTACTCACCACATATCATTCCTTTAATTAGTTCACGTAATTGAGAATAAGTGTAGGACCTTTTATCAGAGTTCGATCTATGTAGGTGTTTACGAAAGCTTTGGACCCTACAGCTGACATGGCCACTTATAATCGTTAGAATGCTGAATCCGCCATCATTATTTCTATCGAGTGAAATACTTTATCAGATAATAGAAGAGCTATTAATTATATGTGATGGTAGGCCATTATTTTCTACTTACTGCTTTTGGGTGTTGCATTTCACGTCAAACTAAAATTAACACAAATGTCACTGTTTCTATATCTTTTATAGCTATTGAAATTCGAGGACGGTTTATACGAAAAAAATTGGATTAAATGGAATACGAATCTA